TAGCAAGTACTGTTTCTTAAACAGTCTCTTTGCTATGTGAAATTAGGTTATGTATAAAGTCTGGTACAGCTATTAATAAGATCTAATTTTCTTCCAGCTTTATTGAGATACAATTGATATACAACGTTGTGTAAGTTTAAGGGATACAATGTAATGATCATACATATGTGTGGGTATATTCATACCTGTCTATACATGTTTCAAAATGATTACCATGATAAGGCTAGTTAACACATCCACCACCTCAGACACTTACAATTTTTTTTATGGTGAGAACGATAAGATCTAATTTTTCTATTTTTTTTCCTACAAAACATATAGGAGAAATACATGGAAAGATTTGTGGACATAATGGCCAACGAAGTGGATGACATTGTGAAAAGCTAATTCTCTAAATCCTACAGAGTACAGGCATCTGGGATGGCAAATTTTAACATGTGCAAAATGCTGATCCTTCTAAAACGTACATTTCTTTTTTCTTGCCTTCTTTCCATGTTCTCATTGCCACTATAGGGAAAGGCCCAGGAGGAGAAAATCCATTCCCAGCTTTTCCAACAATAAAAACTTATCAAAGAAGGTAGGAATGAGCATGAGAATAAGAGCCCAATGATATTTTTGGCATTGTAATTTCACATTCATCATGGTAACTCCCTCCTCGACTCCACTGTGCCCTGCCCAACCCCATTTTTTAATCAATGGTTCCCCTGCCTCCCACAATTATTCATACAGCCCTGCTGAATAATTTTCCTCCCCCTGCCTGGCATAACAACAAAGCTCAGAAGCAGGAAGGAACGCCGCTTAAAGGCAGGTCAGACAATGATGTAATTAACAGGGCAAGGAGAAGTGTTATTTCAGAAAGCCCCATAGAGCAAGAGATGGGCTGATTTCTTGGGTCAACACATTACCAGGAACTATAGTGGCTACAGCACAAATAGCTAAATCAAAATGTTTTCTCCAAGTGAATAAAAACACATGTATATATTACCGTGCCTTGTGAAAGTTAAAAGTTTCATACGGAAATTTTAATTAGAAACAAATTTAAAACGGGTTTGGGAGAGGACTCCCTTCCATCCCACGCTAAACAAGGGGCAGCATGTGTATTTTTGTATGCCTTTGCCAAATTGGTTTCTTAAAAAAAATCAATAATGCAGGAAACCGAGTCAACCCACGAAGAACTGAATTCTGCACGTTAGATGCTAGGGATGTAAAGGTAGTTAAACCCAGTCCCAGCTTACAAAGAGTAAAGAAGTGGAGGAGATTGTTAACAGATAGTTTTATATATAATAATACACAGGACAATTTGTGGGTTTATAGCTTCAGCCATAAGTCCAGCAAAGAGACAAATGAGAGAGGTCTTGTTCTATCTCCCCCCAAAGACAAAGAACCAGTTGATTAAAGGCCTGGGACTCAAACTCATGACTGCAGAGGAACTGGAAACCAGTAAGACACTGCTTTCAGAGTATGTTCTTTAACAGATGCTAGAAGCCATGTGAATTGCAATCTCTCCAGCTGTGAATAACAGAAGTCTATTTCACCGAAGTCGTTGTGTTTTTCAGTTCAAGGATGGAGGTCTTGTCACATACGAGAAGTTTCTCATTCTGTGTTGCAAAAACATTGGCTACTTCTCTCTTTAATGTATTATATTAGTCTTCCATGTTGTTAAAACTGCAGTGTGATGCATTGGGTTTAGAAGTACACATCGACCGAGCAAAAGCAAATGCCAAAGTTAATAAAAATAGAACATTAGTACAAGACCTCCCACATATACCTAAAGGTAAACAAGCAAATTAAAATGTAAATAATTAAATAAGTTAACTTTGGTGCTGTTATGCCCCTTCAAGTTACTTAATGCTTGGATGACATATGGGAAACATTATCCAAAAAAAAAAAAAAGTCAAGGGGCGCCTGGGTGGCTCAGTTGGTTAAGCGACTGCCTTCGGCTCAGGTCATGATCCTGGAGTCCCGGGATCGAGTCACGCATCAGGCTCCCTGCTCGGCGGGGAGTCTGCTTCTCCCTCTGACCCTCCCCCCTCTCATGTGCTTGCTCTCTCTCATTCTCTCTCTCTCAAATAAATAAATAAAATCTTAAAAAAAGAAAAGAAAATCATAACAAGGGGCGCCTGGGTGGCTCAGTTGGTTAAGCGACTGCCTTCGGCTCAGGTCATGATCCTGGAGTCCCGGGATCGAGTCACGCATCAGGCTCCCTGCTCGGCGGGGAGTCTGCTTCTCCCTCTGACCCTCCCCCCTCTTGTGTTCCCTCTCTAGCTGTCTCTCTCTCTCTGTCAAATAAATAAATAAAATCTTTAAAAAAAAAAACAAAACAACAAAACTGCCACTCCAGAACAATGTCACTTCCAAGCTTACACCAATTCCTTCAGGACAGAGGGCGTATCTTACCCATCTTTCCATGTTCAGCATCTAGCCCACACCTGGCAAACAGTCAGTAGTCACTCGATCCCACAGTGGATAATTTCTTTCCAAGCACATGGAGGAGAGAGAATATTAAAGGCCTGACTCTCATGTGCATTCCCTTCCAGCAATTCAAAGTCTAAAAATATTGATAATTTGCAACAGCTAAGGAGTTTCTATAAATTAAGGTGGGCATATCTGGAAAACAAAATCTTAGGACTCAGGAGCAATGGCTGCAGATGCCTACTCCCCCCAAGCTCAAGGTGGAAAGCATGATTTGTGTGGCATCTTGGCTCCTTCCCCATATCCAAAATAATCAGTTGCACAAAGCAGGTTTAGTCCCAAAGCTATCTGGACTTTGTTCTTCCACCAACATCTGGGTTCAGCATGATTCCTGACCTCTACCTCAAACTGGTGATTTCAAACACGAAGAACCTCACTCAACGAGAAAGTGATGTTGTAAGTCAAGGCCAGGGGAAACACGGAAGCCAGAATTCGCAGAAACACCACGGAGCAATGACTCTGGTGTCCTAATAAATGTTCCTAAATACCTAAAATATTAAAACTGCTTCTCAAAAACAAACATTTAAATATACTTTCTCAGATTAAAAGGACTCATATTGTTGAAGAGAAAGATCGTTTTCAGGAAGCTAAATGGTTATTATATAGATGAAATAAGCTTTTTTTCTTTTTAGACAGAGCATAACTTTTCTCTCTGTTGTCAAGTTTGCCTCAGAAAACCTGGTTCACAATCTGGGAGACCGAAAAACTAATTATTAAAAACACACACACAAAACGACGTGTCTTAAACTGACCTAGTTTGGAAGCCTGGATGCCTTTAAATTGCCAATGAACTGAAGCCATTCATGAGAATGGAGCTTTTGAATGCTGAGAATGTTCTGTGGGGCTCAGCGCAAAGATATTTGGCATGAATGGCTGTAAATATTTGTAAAACTCTGGGTAAATGGACAGTGTTTGACCACACTCACACCTCACTTCCAGCACAGTAGTGCGGGAGAAAGTTATCTAGGGTGATTCGTTGGGGTTGGTTTTTTTTTTTTTTTTTTGGAGGAGGGAGGTATATTTTCTTCTGTTTGTTTTAAATAAAAAGTCAAGCATCTCGATTCTGCTACTCTGACATCTTTTTTATACTTAACATTCTCCATACACAGTTACCTTGTATCTGTTTACTCATCAAGACAGTTTCAATTAGTCAGAGGCTACTTTAGAAACAGAAGGGTTTTTCTCTTTCCTATTTTTCCACACGTGTGTGTCCACCACAAAGAAAAAAAGACCATCGCAGGTGTGCAAGGGTAAAAACAGGAGGTGTGTGACAACGTGGCCTTGGATTTAACACAATTATCTCAGTGTGGCCCGTGGGTCTGCTACATAGATCTTTCTTGCCCCCTCCACCTCTTCCTCAAGAGAGTCTCAGAAATACTTAAGGGGCCACTACTTATGAATAGGACTAAGGCTCCGTTCATAAGGGAAGGGGGGACAGAGTTTGGAGAAGGAGGGACCCACAAAGCAGTGGGATGTGAAAGGGACTAGGAGGCTCATCCCGTGAAAACTGCAACAGCCAGATACTTTAATTAGCCAGCAACTCAGTGAAGACTGGCTGGGCTCCTTTGGCCTCCTACCCACACCCTAAGAACTGAGTCATCTCTAAGTTCATTTATTTTGCTTCTGGGCCTAGGACCCCCCCCCCCCCCCCACCACTACCACCACCAATCTGCTGCTTCAGAAATGTTAGATACATTGTTCTATAATTCAGACCTTGCAGTGTTCAAATAAACATCCAGAAATGCCACATTACAGAAACACAGACAGTCCTATGGGGACCCCCAGCTAATGTTTAGTAAGACTGTACAGCAGCAAGAAATAAAGTGCCACACAACAGTGGCAGCAAGAAAGAGGAATTTTCCCAGACAGGAGAATTCATTTCTGAGAAATCTGAATGTGAGACGTATATGCATCAGGAGTAGACTCACAGCAGAATCCCTGAAACTAGTAAGAAAAGCAAAAAGGTGCCCTGCTGGAAGTCAGCTCAAGATACCTTTTCTCTGCTGAAACGCAATCAGTTTCATTTTAACTTAAACTTGAGAACAGCAGTATAGGATGAGAGCTTCACTCTGTGTTATCAGCAATTACCTGACAAAATACGATCGTGTATGGCCAAGATCCCGGCTTACGCCTATCTATGTATGTCAACATTGTGCTGTGCACTTCCAAAGTAACAGAAGGTAAGCGTCTGAGATGACGCCAACTTTTGGTGTCCCCTCAAGAAAGACACAGGGAGGTCTGATCTCCTCTTGAATTTGCCAATCAGTACATTCTGCAGAGACTGTTTTGTTAGAAATTAGTTTCTCTTTACCTTGACCGAGGCGTCTATTTTTAAAAGCTAACAGGTGTTTAAGGCATTCGGAATGAATTCCACGCTGTACGGCTTAAGCACCGGAGGCAGGAAAGAAAGCTCCGAAGCAGGGAATCGTAGTCTCTAGTCTCTTTTTGTCTCTTGTTTTCCTTTTCCTAGTCCAGCACCCAGCCTGCCTTGCCCTGCGTGCGGCGTTTCGAGAGCTCGCGGAACCTACCTGGCAGGAGGGCCCCGTGGGTCCGCGCGCCGCCGGGCTTCTCAGCAGCCTCCGCCGCGCGCCCCGCGGAGGCGGGTTCGTGTCATTCCCGCCCCGGTCCTCCGCGCTCTGCAGCCGGCCGCTCGGCGCTCCGCAGGACTGCGGCGGGACTCGGCCGCCCAGCCCCGGGGGCGGGCGGCAGGGGGAGGAAAGGGAGGGGGAGGAGGAGGAGGACGACGAGGAGGAGGAGGAGGCCCGACAACCGCACGCTGCCCCGGCGAGCGGCCGCGCCGCCCCGAGCCCCGCGGAGCGTGGGGCGCAGCTCGCCGGCAGCAGCGCCGGGAGCCGCGCGTTGATTTATACAGGAAGCTCAGGCGCGGCACTTCCTACTTCCCATGTGGGTCGCACTCCCGCCGCAGGTGATGGTCTTTGAACCCCGTCCGAGCCCCGGGCAGCGGCGCGCCCGCTCGCCCGCCCTCCTGCGCTCGCCGCACCGCTCAGCGCCGCTCCCTCTCGCCCTTCTGGGCCGGCTGCCGCCCAAATCCGGGGCAGGGTGTCCCGCGGCCGCCCTTAGTGTCCTTCATCCTGCCCAGACCGGGACGCTGCACCTCTTGGCCTTCAAGGCTTGTTGCTTGTCCGCGCGTCTCCCGCTAGGACACCTTTCCTTCTCTCTCCCACTTCTGAGGACCCCCCACCCCGCCCCCCCAGCCTGCCTTCCCACCCTGGCAGAACACTGTTTTTATAGAAACACTTTCCAGGCACGTCTCATCAGAAACACCTTGTACCTGATTTGTCCTTTTGCGTCTACTGACAACATTAGAACGCGGGCAAATCAAAGCAGGACCGTCTTTGTTCACCTCCTCAAATAAACGCACACCTTGATGACACAGTGATTTTGCTTGAAGTGCTTTCTCAACAAATGTATGTGGGAACCCCCCCCCCCCGTAACCTAGCCGGTTGTATTCAGTTCGAGAAAAGGTCACACAATAATCCAGAAGCTGGAGGGTATGCTATGATGTGCCTTCCTCACTCCAAAACCTTGGACACTTCATGTGTGTGATGTTTAAAACAGATGATAAAACCAACTCACTCCCCCCACCTGCTGCCCGCCCCCTTCCCAGGTCCCAATCACAGTCCCAAATCTGTTGAATCACTGCAATTTAGAAATGGCACTGCTCTGACACAGGAGTCTTCCCGTGCCTACTCTGCAACCTCACTCTACTTTTGCACATGTCAGTCAGGAATGTGCTTCCTGAAAGGAAGGGGCTCCCTCGTCCTTTGTGGGGGGAATCTGAGCATGCCAGTGAAGTAGGGGGCAGTGGGCACCATTCCAGACAACACAAGTCTGCTGCTTCTCAGCCCTCCATGTTCAAGAAAACCTCCAGGTCAAAGCCAAGTGCTTGAAGAACACATTGTGCTGATGGTAGGCCAGGCCTGGACCAGTCCATTGCGGGGGTGGGGAGGAGGCAGGCAAGGAAAGTAAGAGAACGAGCGCACAGCAGGGAGGAACCCAAAGGAATAGAATCAGAGGATATTTGAGACTGAAAAGTTGTTCTGGCTAGTTTAGTCCAAATGCCTAATTTTAAAGACAAGGAACCTGATGTCCAGGGAGATTTAAGTGGTAGGCTGGAACCAGATAGGGCAGAGCTGGAATGAGACCTGAATTGTGTTAAGGGAAAAGGTACATGTTAATAACCACCCCCAAGGAGTCTAGCTTCAAACTTAACAGTAGCTTAGATTCTAATATAATCAACTCTGGGGCGCCTGGGTGGCTCAGTTGGTTAAGCCTCTGGGATCGAGCTCTGTGTTGGGCTCCCTGCTCTGCGGGGAGCCTGCTTCTCCCTCTCCCTCTCCTACTCACCCTGCTTGTGCTCTCTCTCTCTGTTAAATAAATAAATAAAATC